TCACGGGATTCGAGGAGATCCTCGATGCGCTCCGAGAGCTTCTCGATACTAACTTCGAGGCCAAGAGCCAAAGCGACCTGAGTGGCGACCCTGAGAAGATCCTCCCGAGCATCGGTAAGTCCTTCCTCGAGACGTCTTACCTGCTCAGCATGCTTGGCCTTGAGGGCCTTCATTTCAGCCTCAACCTCCCGTCTGGAAGCGGTTCTCGCCTCTTCAAGCTCCAAAGCGTGGTTCAGCTCGAGAGCATGCAAGCTCTCCTGGTGGGCCTTGATGGTGTGCTCATGCTCAGTGATCGACTCCTCGAGCCTGTTCACGAGCTGTTTGTTGTGTTCGGCTTCGGCAGCGGCGTCGTCGCGTTCTCTGGTGGCGGCATCAAGCAGGACCTTGGTGGCCGCAGCTTGCTCTTCGGTCTGTGTAACCTTGGCCTGTGTCCTGTTGACGATCTCCTTGTAGTCATCAATCTCGCGGCGAAGGATCTCGACAAGTTCCTTGTGCTTCTTCTCCTTTGCGGCCTCATCGCCTTCGGGTTCCTTGTGTCCGTTCTGGGCAAGCTGGTCGTTGAGCGAGGTTACCTGGCCCTCAGTCTGGGCAAGTCGCGAGCTCAACATGCTGGACTGGGTCTCAGTCTCGGTAAGCTGTGTGGTTAGGAATGAGATCTGGCTCCCAAGCTCGGCCATTGAAGACTTCATCCTATTTTCCGAGTCCTGAAGGTTCTCCAAGGCAGCCTGGTGCTTGGCTTCCCAACCGCGAAGCTCGGCCTCCAGCTCAACTATCCTCTTTGCCTGTGCATCCGAATCTCCGTCAAACACCCTGGGACCAACCGAAGCAGGATCAACACCAGCCTGGTGCAGGGCATGCTGTAACTCGGAAATCTGAGCCTCCAGCTCCCTCTGCCGGATGGCGTTGGACTCCCGCAGCTCCTGCACGTGCTTCTCGCTCCTCTCCAGCTGCTCTCTGAGGCTGGAAACCATAGCCATATCCATCGGCGATGCCGCCTTCAAGCTGGACCTCTCGCGAGTCAAGCCAGAGATGATGGTCATCTTGGTCTCCATCTCCTTCTTCGCATTCGTCACATCCGCCTCCAATTCTTGGATCCTTACCGAGCGAGCATGGAGTTCGTGCATAGCGGCGTTCAAGTTGAGCTCGAAGTTGGCCATCACATCTGGATCGTGCAGATTTTCGGCTGCGATGTTGCTGAGCGTGGCGAAAGAGCGATGGGCGCGATCGATGATCATCACGTTCTGGCTGGACTTACGACGGATAACTGGAGTGCTGGTTCTTGATATGGAAGATTCCACGCTGAGAGCCTGAGCCTTTGCAATCTCCGTCTTCAGTTCTTCCACCATGTCGAGAGTCTCCTGGTGCTTCTCCTCCAGCTGAGCATACCGCGTAGCAAGTTCCCTTTCGGCAGCCTCCCTTGCAGCGGCAATGGATTTCAGTTTCTGGATCTGAGCATCGGCATCCGCTTCGTCAATCTCCGAATCGTGATGTTTGGCAGTCTCGGCACCCGAAACGTCCGTAACAACTGTATGCGAACCCAGGGCCGATGACAGCTCAGACGACAAAGATCGGTGTCCAGTCTTGGTTTCGCCTGACATCAACGACATGGGCCTCGTACCCGGTGCTGATACCGAAAGAATGGAATCCCGTACACGGCTCGGATGGCGGGCCTCGTCAACAGCATCCTGTAGCTCCGCAAGCGCCCTAAGAGCCTCCTCGTGCTTAGCTTGGAGAGCGCTGTAGTCATGCAGAGTTGTCTCGTGCTCGGTACGGAGGTCGACGAGTTCCTTGGTAACGGTTTCGAACTGGTCCACAGGTACCAGTTTCGAGCCGTTCTTGCCCGCCAGTTGAGCGTGCGACGCCTTCGGTGTCGAATGGTTTGCCTTGTCCGTTGGGGTCGCATCCAGATTGTCCTCATCTTCCTCGGGAATATCCTCCTCGCTGCTCTCCCGGATTGGTTCATCGAACTGGCTTCGGTGGCTTACATGGCTCTGGCTACGCGAATGGTTGGCATAGTCTCGGCTAGCCATTTTGCGATGGCGGGCTCCGTTGGTGAGTTCATGCTCGTTCTCGGGGATGGTCGGCGGATCTTGCTGGATGTGGTCCAGTTCGTTCAGCAAGGAGTCCAGCTTTCCGAGACTGCGCTGGCGTTCAATAACCTGCTCAAGACGGTCAATTTCCCTCTGCATCAGCTCGGCATCCTGATCAGCCTCGGCGAGGCGCTCTTCCAGGGTAGAGATATAGTCCTCTGCGTTTGCTTCATTCTCGCGTACACGGGCAATCTCTTTACGCAGCTCGGTAATAATGGTGGCGTTCTTTTCTTCCCCGGAAGTATGGGTATCCAGCTTGGCCTCCAGGTCATGTAGGTAGTTCTCCGTACTAGCCTCACGATCCATGAGTTTTTGTAGCCTTGCCTGGAGTTGAGTGTTGATGGTCTCCGTATACGCACACTTCGTTTCCTTCTCGAGCAGCGTAGCCTCGGTGTTAGCGAGGGTGGCCCGAGTGCTGGCAAGGGACTGCTCGAGCGATTGGATTGTTTTCTCGTATTCAAGAACGACCTGCTCGACGGCCTGGGCGAAACTGTTTGAGCGATTTAGACGTTCGGTGGCGCTTTCACCCAAGCTCTCCTCGAGATGCTGATTCTCAGCAAACTCATTTTCCCGCGCCTTGGCCATCTCGGAAATCAGCTTCGCATGTCGCTGGGATAGCGTGGTATAGTTTTCCCTGGCGTCCAGTAGCTGGTTCTGGAGCTCTGCCTCCCGTTCATTCTGCCGCTCGGACCTCTCCCCAGGAGCAAGCAACATGCTACGTCTGTCACCCCCGCCCCTTTCCGAGCTCCGAATCTGCTCTCGCAGGAACGCAACCTCGGCCTTCAAACGCTCAATAATGGCCTGTTTGTCGCCCTCGTCCACCTGTTGTATCCTCGGCTTGCTTTGAATGGCTCGCGCTCTCTGGGCATATTGTACCGTGTTGAGTGTTTCGCTAAGGTGGAACTCGGCCTGGGTAACGCAAGCAATCATGTACGTAATGGCATTTCCACCCAAAGAATCTTGAAGCAAGCGAGTGAGCTTCGAATCTCGGTACGACACATGCGCTCCTGGTTGCCGTGACGAAAGCTGCGATATAACCTTGCCTAGGGCGGCCAGACCAGCATTGATCGAGATACCCTCCTTGGCACGCTCGCCTTGGGCACCGGTATTCTTGAGACGTTCGCTACCGGCCAAATCGACGAAATGCATCTTGCTATCGGTGGTGACCATGGCTTCCGTACCGGACATGGCCTCGAGCGGCATCGACATGCGTCTATCTGTGGGCGCCGTGGGACCCTTGGCTCCTTTTCGTACCAGGTTAAGGCTGAAGACGGCATGGGATCTCGAAGATCGGGCATTGATTGCTGTCGCATCGGTCTGGCGGAGTGCTGAACCCTGGGCTAAAACATTCATCAGATCGTCGACCGAGTTGACCTCGACTTGCTGCAAGCCGGTGAGGATGATGTTCCCCTTGACATCCTCACGGATGGTGACGGTGCCGCGCTCATGCTGCGGAATGTGCTCTGGAATTAGAAGGTCTCGCAGGGTTTCGTTGTAAATCTCGACGTAAGTCGCAGTCAGTTTCCAATCCTTGTCGATATTGGAGGGCTGAAGCATGGCGACTTTCGAAGGGGCACGCAGCTGGGACATGGAACTCCGTTTCGAAGCCGCGCCTTGGGACTTTGGACTTGAGCCGTCCAGCTTTTCAAACAGGGCGATAGCGGCCCGGGGGATCACTCCTACATGTGCAGTTAGCACGCAAGCTTCTTGGTGGGGAGGGCACCTGCATGTCTCAGAGGCCGGTGCCAGGTGCACTTACCCATGGCCTCTAGGTCTTCCTGCACATCGGGGCCTGCAGTACCCATCGTGTATGACTTGCCGGCGCCCGACTGGCCGTAGGCGAGAAGCGAGACATTGTAACCCTGTGTGAAAGCATTTACACAGTCGCTAAGATACTCCCATACGCCCTCCTGGTCGACCTCGGGACCAAAAACCCTGTCAAACACGAACAACTTGCGGCCCTGTGGTGAATCGATGGCTACTCCGGTCTCTCCTTGGACTTGCACCATTGACCGCTGAAAGCGTTGTGGGACAAGATCGTATCCTGGATCGTCTGGACCCAGGGGCGGCCTCACGCGCACCGCTGCAGAAGGGAAAATGCGGTGTCAGCATCCAAGTTGTTCATGTCCTCTTTTTTTTGCAGGCGGGAGTGGCTGCTTCTCTCAGCGTTGCCGTGCAGTTGCCGGAATACCACAGCTGGAATGCTCTACAATAGGGAGCCACCCGGGGGTAGGTAAAGAAAAGGGGGTACAGATGCTGTGGGGGTACGTACCGACTCTGACTGCAGTCTTGACATCGTCGTCCGACGCTCGACTCCCACCACCAGTTTTGCTGGTAATGCTCATGCGGCTGCTGCTTCTCTGTGTTGGCCGAACCATGGCGCTCATGGGTCGCTGAGGCAAGCTGGAGCCGCCCGGGGAATTTGGAGGAGAGGCGAAGTCCATTGTTTTATTGTTTTATGATGGATTTTTCCTTGGAAGCGAATGGACGGCTTGTGGGATTGCCGTTTGGACCTCAGGCTTGGGTGCCGCTGGACGGGCCAATGCGACGGCGCAATACCACCTGCAAGTCTGCACTACCGCCCAGGTCGAATTGAACCCCAGCGTTACGCACACTCCTGTGCGCCTGGCTGCACTGCTGCTTAGTAGTTGGGCCAAAATATAGGGAGCGACGAATAGCGAATGACGGTCGGCAGCCAAACGGGATGAGATGGGCTTGGGTTCGGGCTGCTCGGCGGCTTGTTGGGTTCAAAGTAACGACTGATCACCAATTGGGGTTGGACGTTTGTTGTTGGGTGGTGAGTGATGCTGGAATCGGATATGCGCTGCAAGGGATGGCCTGGAGGTATAGATGGAATAGTCGTCTCTCCTGAGTCTTGGTCTCGTGAAATATCTCCTCCGTCGGGTATCTCGTAATTAGTGTATGGTTTGGCGTCGGGATGCTTCTGGGATTTTGGACTGGACAAAAGGAGGGACTGCTTGCTGCTTGCTGTATGTTGATATGTAGAGGAGATGATGGAATGGCGGACTGCGGACCCCTCGCGGGGAGGCGGGTGTTATCCAGCTTTAATTTGCACAACGGGCGTCATATGTTCCAGCTGGTCGCGAAAGTGGTGTTAGACTGGTGTCGGGAGTGAATGTCTTATCGATACCGGCCTGGTTTCTTTTTTTTGTTTTTTGTTTTGAATCGCCCAAAGTCGAGGAGCGGGCACGATGTTAGCAACTGAAAGCAAAATGCTGCAAAATCAATTAAAAAAAAAGTGGTTCAGGATCTCTGGGCTGAAAGTGGTTTGGGGGACTCTTGCTTGTTTATTTGATTGCGTCGACCGACTGACCAGGATGTAGACGGCGTCGCAAATTACCAACGCTACCGACAAGGTATCGATGTAGCAGAGCGCAGCTAGCACGGGTACCCCCCACTCAGGTCACGACCACTAGCAACTCTCCCATCCACTGCCATCCCCTGAACACTGGAGAGGAAGGAACGGAAGCAACGAGAATCGCATCTGATTGGGGATCCGGTCACGGTCAAGCCCTTCCGCTCGAGTTAGTACACTTTGGGAACTGGAACTTGGCCCTGGCTAGGTGCTTGCTTGCCTTGACCAGATCGGGAGCGAATGAGAAATCATTTTCCATGTCTCGCTGATCGTGCACCTTACACACGGGACCTGACGGACTCTGAGAGACAGACAGACGACTATCTACCTAGTAGGTAGGTAGGTAGTAGGTCACTGGGTGGGTGCAATTCTCCTGTTCCCAGCTGGGTGGTTTGCTAGGAAGGGAAATGGGCAAGAAGCAATCAAGGGAACCCAAACCAGAGATAATGGAAGCCCCAGTTGGATGCGACATCTGGGGATGGAATGGAAACATGGCAAAGTAAAGACATCCTTGCTTCCCCGATGGTCAGGTACGAAGGAAGTACTGACACTCGCCCGGCCAGTTATCATTCAAAGGCAAACCTTCCTTTTTGCCTTTCTTTCTTTTTCTTTTTTTCTTTTTTTTTTTCTTTTCTTCCCCTCTGGTACTCCTGCCACAGTCGATGCAAACCGAGTCCAGGTCAAGAGGGCGGGGATGCCGGCAAGAAAACAAACATGAGGCGTCGCAATCGTTTGCACCGGTACCATAATAGAGTCGTCAAGCCGCCAACGAGATGGCGAGATGATTAAGGGGCACCCGCGCTTGCTTCTTTTCCCTTTCCAGCAACAGCACCCTCTCCACATCACGTATGTGTATCTGCATGCGCGGCATGTTGTGAGATACTCGCAACCACACTCAGCCAGCGAACGTGGGATGCGAGGCTCTGCATAACACTGCGCATCTGTTGAGACTTGGCAGATGTTGCATCACATCAGATGAACCATAAGTGTTCTTGTCCTCATGGACCCCTTTTTCTTGGGAAAGCTAAAAGCCCGCCTTGAACGCCCGTCACACATAATTCACGCAATCGCTACTTACTGCAAACAACAACCAGAAAGTAACAGCAAGACCTACAATAGCGAGGATATTTAGAGACACATGGAAATACCCATCTGTATATATAGCTCAATAGGTATGGGTTCTGTATGCCTTTGCGGGGTGCTTGGAAACCCCAAAAGTGCACCCGCTATCGCCAAACTTCCCCTGAGATCGTCGCTTTGTCTTTCCCTCCTTGGCCCTAACCACCCGACCCAATCCACCAACAACTCCCATTCTGGAAGCCTTCCCTTGGTGGTGTTAATTCAGGGGTGCATGAGCGCTGTCAAGGACACGGGCATGGGGCTAATTCTAGTGTAGGTAGTGGATGGGATGAACCTCCCGACGTTAGCGACAGTGGGGTGTCGAAACCGTGTGTGTGATAAAGCGGATGACTGCAAGCCGGTTAAAGCGACTGCGCAATCGGTAAGTGCGACTGTGTGGAGCCAGCAGCAGCTTCAACCAAGATGCAAGTCACTTTTAGCAACCCAGATGAGTGGTTAGGATTCGCGGTTAAGGCAAGCGTGGAAAAGAAAAGCTAGTGATAGGAAAAAGATGGCTCGCTTTGACTCGTTGTCGTGGTTCAAAATGACGGGATGCGGGACTTCTAGTGATTGTTGCAAACTCCCGGGATTTTGGTGGTCTTGACTCGAGTCGCCCGCCCAGTTTGTAAGGCCCCACACAGTCGCACTGACCGATCGTACTAGAGGTACCAGGTACCTACCTTACGTAGTCGCTTTAAACCAGCTCCGCGGATGCGAGCGAAGCGGACACACAAAACCCGCCAAAGCAAGCCAAACAACGGGTCTGCAGGTACGCAGCACAAAGCTGGGCACGCTTTTCAGGAACACAAATCGATGCAATTCACTGTTAGCAAGACATGTGCTCATGGCGCCGAATCAAGGCGGGCCCTTCTGCCCAATCAACAGCCGACATCCGACAGCCCTTTTGCTCATTCCACCTTCTTATGTAGGTAACCCAGTGGAAAATCGAAAGCGCTCAAAATTCCGTCCTTGCGAGGCTACATTCCTCAACACCCTCTTCTCCCTTTCTAGATGCTGAGATTTCAAGAGACTCAAAAGACGCGCATCAGCTCGATCGTGCACACCACAACGATACGGTATGATGCCAGAGCGCGGGGTGCGCTTCCCGTCTATCGTCTGATGGGGTGCCTTGATTACATATCGCTCTGTATGTATCTTGTCCTCGCCGTCGGAGTGAGCGGTCTGTGCGGAATCAGACATCAATGGGTGGAAAAGGTGCAATCCATCTACCGGCACCACGGGTACATACTGTCATGAAAAGCATGTTGAGGGTCCTAGGTTCCCGCCGGGCTTCGGAGAAACTAGTCTGGCAGGCTCCGCATACCTTATCCCTTCCAGACGTAGCCTAGGGCGTGGATACAGCATCGTGAAGATCGGATGGCCTGATGTTCTTGTTACCGATGCTGCGGTGCCATCGTCGGCCATGTGAAAACCTCAAGAAGAGGGCGACACTTGGACAAGAGGTTTATCTCGAGAATTTACACATACATATAGACATTGCGTAGTGCACAGAGGAACAGTCATGGCATGCATCTACGACACCAGCTTGCCTACCCGTACCTTACAACGGCAACAGTCTCCCAAATGAGGTCATGCTCCGGATTCGTTTGCTCTCTCATCTCTACTAGAAGCACTGACGCCTCGGTGGCACTTGGATGGGGACCTGTGACCGTGCACCTGCGTTAGCTTCCCCGTTGGAAATTTAAAGCCCCTGTCAGTCTGTCAGTCAGTTCGAGCCCGTTCAACGTCTTTCGCTTCGCCCATGGGAAAGTGAAGGAAATGAAAGACGAATGAGGAAGACAGGAAGAGATTACGGCGGCGCGCTCTGGCTGCCCCATCTTTGGCATGTTGCTGGGTGTGTATTGGGATGGGGTTCGATAAGAGCGGGCAAACAGACTGCCATTGGACGACCAAACGACAAATCCACGTGCAAGCAGACTACGATTCTTTGCATTTTGAGGATGCAGGGATTCGAAGATGGACACTCATCTCATCTAATCCCGTTGTGTATGCGCGAAGAAACAGTGATGGGAGCAGAGATCTATCCTTCATAAAACGGGCGAGTGTTGAGGACTGCCAACAGCACGGTGAAGCTGACTCTTTTTGATACGGTGTGTCCGAATGGGTCACTGAACTGTCTCGAGTGAAAAGCGGGAAGCATATGGAGTCTCGGATGGAGAGAGATGAGCTTCCTCAGTCTCTTCCATTCCATTGATCACGTTTCTCGCTTCGTCTTTGATGACCCACTATGGCCGGTTATGACGGCGTTTTATACACTCCACAGACAGACCATGGACATTTGAATCCGGGGGCCGGGGCAAAGAGGTCGTCGATCAGTCGGCCGTCGGTCATTGCGATCGATGGTGCGAGCACGGGGTCGGCCTGGTCGGATCGGCCAAAAAAATGGAGAAAGCGAGGAGCAGCGATTCGATGATAACAAACAACGGGAACGGCCGAGTGGAGAGCGGGGTCTGATTAAGCTCAGATCACGTGAAGCCCGCGTCAGGTTCGTGCTTCGAACCTCTATCCGTCGCGTCAACATGTCGTTACACTATGCGACCGCACCGCATCGCACTGCATCGCATTGCATCCCGTTACGCTGTCGCAACGTCTTCGCCCGTCGTGCTGTGGCAACTAGACAATACTAGTCGCAAGACAAACAGGAGCCGAATCGATACTTCGCGACTGCCTGCAAACGGAGCATAGGTAGGCCGAGAGCCGCCCGCCCCCCAAACAAACGGCCAGCACGCAATTGTCCGCGTCATTTGTCCCCACCAGTGACTCGTGTCATGGAGAGACACAAACAGCCTTTGCCGAGTTTCCACGCGCCGTCAAAACCTTGAGCCATGCCCCCAGAGGTCATATCCCTTCTGTCCAGCCCAGAGGTGGAACCTCAATCAACATTAGTTGTCAACAACATGTTGTCGCATGTCCCGCCTAGCAAACAGAAGAATGTCCTCGATGATGATCTAGACTACGACAATTTTGACCTCACAGCCGATGACGTTCCGCCAATATCTACCTCCAAAACTCCCGCCAGGAAAGAACCAGGACTCAGTACCGTTGATCTCAAGGGAGACAGTCAAGAATTGAAGTCCATCCAGGGCTCTGCTCGAACTATGAGCCAGAAGAAAACTCCAGAACTCGACATTGATATATCCTCGGACGGTTTTCTCGATATTGACAGTATCACCAGATCGACAATCGGAGGCGAGCGAACAAGCGAGCCAGCTAGGAAGCGACAACGCTTATCCCCAGTCTCAGAGTCCAACAGCCCGAAGCCTCGGTTGGCACAGACACATACCCTGGCGATAAGTAAAAGCTTCGCTCGGTTGGGGCCATCACGAAATGACAGCAGTAGGGTAATAGAGGATTCCGAGTCTTCCACATCTCCCCATATTTCCAGCCGAAATATATCCAAAGCGGCGAAATCCACCTATCATCACAATGACGACGATGATGATCCCTTCGCAAGCCCGCCCCCAAGGTTCACCCGAGAACAAAAAGGGAAAGGACCTGCTTCTGCAAAAGTCACACCAGATGTTATCAACATAGATGATTCCGACGACGATGACCCATTCGTAGACTCTCCGCTGAAAGTCAATCCGAATCCACGAGGACCGCCAAGGCCGGCAACAACAGCAGCAGCATGGGATCCCATATCAAGCTCGGCCCCCCTTCCAGCGAAACCTAGTCCTCACCGCTCCCTAGGAAGAAGTCAATCAGGGTTCAGTCCTCCCGAAAACTCGGACGAGGACGTAGGCGTGGACCCTTTATCCAACGACGAAGATGACTTTCCAGACATATCCGACCTCCGCTTCCCAGCTAGTCGCTCAGGGAATGATCTATCGGGACCTACGAAAAGACCGTTCACCAAGTCCGCATCTACAACAACGGGAGCGACAAGGACGAAGCCTGCAAAAGGAGGTGCAAAGAAAACAGCCGAGGAACGAGCCAGGGAAAGAGAAGATAAAGCTCTCGAGAAGAAGAGCGCAGCGGAACGAAAAAGGCAAGAAAAAGAGCGCGAGAAGCAACAAAAGGCCGAAGAGAAACAGCGCGCTGCCGCCCGTGCAGAAGCCAACAAGCTGAAGATCAGAAAGGAAATCGCGACCCCTGAGATGATCGTGGATCTTCCGTCTAGCCTCCCTCCAGCTACCAAGATCCAGATCGAAGAATTCCTGAAGAAAATCGATGTCAAGGAAATCAACACTTGGACCTCCCCAGTCGATAACGTCGTGCGCTGGCGCCGCGCGGTCAAATCTCGTTACAACGAGGAACGCCACCACTATGACCCGATTCCCGAAACCATCGAGACCGAGAAGATCATCCTGGTCATCCTCCCCGCCGCCGAATTCGCTAAGCTCGCAATGGGCGCCGAGGGCCACAATCTCGAAGCGCACGTACTCAAGGTGCAACGCCATTTCCCTAATCACCAAACCATCTACCTCATCGAAGGCCTAAAGAAACTCCTCTCCTCAAACCGTAACAAGCGCAACAACGACTTTGCATCGGTCGTCCGCTCCCGCCTAGCCGAGGACGAATCTGCATCAACCGCCTCTTCCCGCCGGACTAATAAGAAGAACGATCCCCCCATGACTATCAGCGAATCCCAAATCGACGCCGCCCTCCTTCGACTCCAACTCCTCTATTCCATGCAAATCCAAGAAACCACCTGCCTCCAGGACACCGCCCACCAGCTACAGCTCTTCACCCAAAATGTCGCCGTCGCGCCCTATAAACGGCATCAAGAAAACTACTTGATGAAGTCGGCCGGGTTCTGCATGGATAGCGGACAGGTGCGGACGGCTATTGGAACTGAAGAAGTGTACGTGCGCATGCTGCAGGAGGTGGCGAGGATCACGGCGCCGATTGCCATGGGGATTGCGAATGTATATCCCAGGGTTGGACAACTAGTTCGGGCGTTGGAGGAGGGAGGTCCGGGGACGTTGGAGGATGTCAGGAGGGTGATCAATAAGGAAAGGGAGGTTGGGGAGAAGAGGGTCGGGAAGGCGGTCAGTAAGAGGCTTTGGAAGATCTTTACGGGGAGGGATGAGATGAGTACGGAGGTTTGAAGAATGCTGCGATGTACGGGATCCTGGCTTTACCGAATGGTGTCGATGGGTGCACTTCGCCCTAAAACTGAGTAGTATCGGGTGTATACGTGGCATACATCCGGATAGCTGATGAGCGGTGCAGCGTGGCTGTGCTTACTTAAGATAAATACCATTCGAACACCGGTCACAAGAAATTGGCCAAAGGCGCTGCCCAACCTCCCTACTATGCAGCGGGGCTGAGCACGATGCGAGCTTTCACCAGACAATATGAACCAATCGCAAGTTCCGTTGCAAGTTTGGGTATCACACTTTGATTGACACCCGAAAAGACGTGGTCGTGGCTGAGATGGCGAGTGTGGGTCTGGAAGCTGTCTGCCTTACACAACCAGCTGTTGACTTCTACATAAAGACCTTGGATATGGTGCTGTAAATTTGTGATGATGATCTCAGCTATGAGGGTATGGGTGTCATGCACCTGAGATCGAGCAATGGAGCGCTACTTCTCTCACAATCCTTTTGCCTCGCCAGAGCACACCCATACGACACGCGCAGAGGTATCCTGCCTTAAAGTGGTCAACTATACGGTAAGATGGTTGTTTCTTTCACTTCTGCCTGTCCTCTGCGGTGTGTAGTCACCCAGTATCGACACATCCAGATCCTGTCTACGTTAGAGGATATCCAAAGGCGCTTTTACAGCTCGGAATAGGGATGTTGCTGACGGTGAAAGTATAGGACTCGAGATGCAATAATGTGGAAAAATGTTCTCTTCCTGATGATGAAGGGATCTTGAACTTCGTGAACGGCCAAGTATTTACCCATGTTTCTTTGTGTCCCATTTACTTAGACCGGGGACTTTCCCTTTATTGCGTGATTTAACTGGAATCGCTGACATTCGAGCCTTTCTCAGGGTCAGTTTGCGCCAAAAGAGGTGCCAGATGGCGTCACTATCAAGCGTCAAGTCCGTTGTCTGATGCAAGTCAAGATCTGTCAATGTACTAAATCTGCCTCGAACCGTGCTAACGCCAGACCAGACTATACGAACCTAAATTGTCCATCGCAACACTCACGCACAAAACTCAAGACGTGTGGTTCTTACCGTCAAATACCTACCAAGTCATAATCGAAAACCTGAGATTGCCATTGCTTTCTTTGGATATTGACAGAACAATTGGCTCATTCTTCGACTTGGAATTTGCAGAGGAAAACAATGAGTCCCTTATGCGTGAGTTACCTTCTGCACTGTCTTGGAAACCCATATCTATGGCTAGATTTGACGCAACGGCCATCTAAGTTGAACGTCGAGCCCTCAAGCTGTGTGTTTGTGTGTGTGTGTGTGTGTGTGTGTGTGTGTGTGTGTGTGTGATAGGTGCTGACTGTTGCTGAAGGTATTGTATTCCGACATCAGTTTCAACGAACACATATGCATTGGCGAGAGGACCCTGCTTACTCGCACTGCTACGAGGATAAAATCGAGCTTTTCCTTACCTACGCATTTAGTAGCAACGAGACGACAGCACTTTTTCGCTTGAACGAGGGGTTTGAAAGACTGGACATGCGCAAGGACATGAGCAAATGCTTCGACGAAATCAGCAGAATTACTTGCAAGGTTGCTCACCCGCTGACTCTACCTTACATCATGATTCGCAGTGTTAGACTTCGATTGAACCAAAGACACCTCGATGCTGCATCGATGGCTGAACAAATGGAACTCATCCTCGCGTGTAACACGAGTGAAGTCAAGCATGATGTTAGGAGGATATATACAGACACGTCGGATTCATGGAACTTTCGGCCTATCGGGAGGCACTGGGCGGACAATCGCCGAAGTATGATATCAGTGTTGAGCTCTGCAGCAGCACTATGTGAGGCCATCGATGAACTTCGAGAAGCAATGGCTTCTTTCTGGTCGAGACTCTCTGATGAAGAAGAGTCATCGGAGATGACTGCCATTCACACCCAATTAGCCAGGGGTTTGAAGGAAGAGCGGGCTCAGTTAGACAGCATTGTGGGCTTTACTCGTCAGTTAGAGCAGCGCATGCATGCTTTGGAAAGCTCGGTAAGTCTCATTAGGTCAGGCAAGAGCGCTTGACACGGGTCCGCCAAACAGATAAGGGATGATGCTAATGTGGGATGACGACTAGATTAATATTATGGCCCTGGAGCACTCTCAGAGGAACAGCCAGTTGAACACGGCTATCGCGCAGTGGCAAATTGACCTAAGCACAACGACTACTCGAGATGCCAAAACAATGAAGGGTCTGGCATTCATGGGCGCCCTATTCCTTCCCGGGACCTTCATATCGACGATCTTGAGTATGCCGTTCTTTGAGTTCAAGATTGGTAGGCTATCTATGTCCGTGTCGTGTTCACGGCTCATGGGCTGACAGATTTCTCAGATAAACTATGGATCTACTTCGCTGCAGCCGTCCCACTTACCGCTTTCACCATTGCCGCTTGGGTGATATATGAAAGATCGCAACAGCGCATAACACGCACTGAGCACGGGGTCATGAGGAAAGTCGTCGAAAGGCTACAAGCGAAGGTACATAAAGCATCAAAGATCCAGGTATCCTTTTCATTATCATAGGTACCTACCTCTCTAGAAAGTAGGATCCGAGATCTACGGTAGCGTAGGCAACTAAGAGGCCTGCCTGATGATGGCTCTCGCTAGGAGAAGAAAAAATCTACAAAGGCTAGACCTTCGCGTCCATCTTCGTTTTCGTTTAGTCCATGACAGCAGGATGTGTACCTATTTATGATTTCCTATGAAGTTTACAAGCTTCTCTATACCTTCGTGAACAAAATAAGCTAAGCAGAGGCAGTGAAATCTCCAATAACACCCGACTACTACTTAAGAACGTTAAAAGGTTATACCTGATTTCGGGTTCCTAGTTGTCATCAGTGAGCCGTCGGGTTTACCCTTGGAGCGTACAGTCTTGAATATCGCCGGGGGGGTTAAAAAAAGAAAGAAAAAAACGAGAAAAAAAGACACAGTTCTAAATACCACCCACCTTGGAGCAAATGTGGGATAAGAGTAAAGGGAGCAAACTAGCCAATATACTGGTGTCTGTCCCAAAATATGTAGGGAAGCAGAGTATACTTTGGGGAATAGCTACAGATGATAGTCATATAAAGACACACATATACTTTACTTCATCTTATCGCAGGTATATAAATGCTGACAGCAGCCCACAAAATACAGCTTGGTAAGTTAGCG